AGTATTATTCTTGACAATACTATATTAGAATAAACTCTATTATATTGTTTATAATTACTCCTCTCCATCCAAAGGTTGCCTGGAAGAGATCGCTCTTAGCGATAAGGTCGCCCATTGTTTTCTCATTGTGATTATTTCTTGTAATTATTTATATTTATAATAAGTTTACTATTGTAATCTTTTGGAGGAAACAATAAAGAGTATCTATCTATCTATCTATTCCGAAAATAATTATCAAAATGTTTTTAGAAATTAAAAGATGAACTTTAAGACTTTCTTTAGAATGTCGTTTAAAAACAACAAAATACAAGTAACATGTTTGAGTGACTAAAACGACTACTAAATCATACGCGCGTAGACTGCGACGCGTGGGGTCCACACGTGGGACAAAAGCCCTTTGAACCACCCCTTGTCTAGCCGACCAGTTTGACAAGAGCTCTCCCGTCCCCAACGCTGTGCCAACAACACGAAGGGAGAATAGAAAATTAAATAACTCTGATAGTTCTAAAAAGATTAGCCGTGAGAAGCGAACAGATGGTTGTAGCTACTGCCAAAGAGCTACCAATATTTTGTTGTCTGTGTTCGTTGGTTGAAAAAATAAAAAAGTCAGTCAAGTGTGAGTTGCATTCACAAGCCGAGGGTTCGTTATTTGGTATAATTTGTAAATACATGTTTGTTTTCTTTAGATAAAAAATTATTTGAACATGATAAATTGTCTATGAAATTGATAAAATTATTAATTAAATAGTCGACAATTATCTTTGATTATTCACCATCGAATACAATTTAGAGCATATATATTTATTTTTAACCGACTTTAAAAATGAGGTAATTAATTCATATGTAAATATTTTTTTAATGTTTGTGACCTCATACCTCAGCCACTTGTAAGCCGATTTGGAAAATTGTTTTTTTTTTTATCTGAAAGGATATATTTATGGATTGGTTCAATAGAAATTTTATCAATACCAGTTTAGTTTTTAGAACAATTTAACTGGTTTTATCATGATTATTTTTTTTTTGTGGGACATAATCTTAGTTTTGTGATTCGAATATTCGTTGGAGTCCGAAAAAGGTTCCTATAAAGAGATAAATTGTCGGAAAAATGTAAAAATATAATTATTTCCCATACAAGTTGTTTCTAGCTGTCAAACGAAATATAAAATACTTATGTGCAAAAGATGTGTTCGACGTCAAATATTGACGTTCTTTTGACAAAATTACATGTGTTGAGTTAATTAAAGCTGAGTGGAGCCATTTCAGTGCATTTTTGGATGTAAAAATGATTATTTTATGTTTATTTTTTAATTATGGTAAATTAAGTTTAATTATATGTACATTTTATTTGCTCATTTTTTTTTCTCGTTTGTTGTTTATATTGTATTTTTTATATTGCACTGAATAAAATATTTTTCTTCTTTCTTTCTAATTAGTTTGATATATTATTTGTACTTTCAAGTTATTAATATATGTATCTGCCGTAGCTGTCCAATACTGAACAGAGTCTCCCCTATAAGTGGGAGTATTGCCAGTAATTGCCACTTTTGGCAGGCGGGTTGGAAATTGCAGTTTGATTCTTAGGTGATGTTCTAAGAGGGACGCTGCTGCCCATCCCTAGCTCTCTATTAGTGGCCTCTTACGACACCCACGGGAAAGGAAGGGGTGGCCCATTCTATGCCAGGACAGACACGGCTTCGAGTTGTTAATATAAATGTTAATTTATACGAGAGATTATACCAACGTTCTTTATAACAACGTGATCAATTAAACACGCGAGGGGTGTGCTCTCCGTGTAAATTATATTTGTAGACATAAGATTTTTGATTTTCTGAAGTGGATGTGGTAATTTGGTTGAATAATTTAGCAACTCGAGTTGTTAATACGCGCCTCACCAGTATTATTATGATTTCATAGTATTATTATTATTGTGCGAAGCCGAGACGGATTACCGTCTCATCTCAGCATCACAGTATTTTTTTTTTAATAACACACAGTTCATATTACTTACATACATATCTGTCACGCCAACTCTCTCATTCTTTTCTCAGTCTCAGTTGATACAAATACATTTTTTTTATTTAAAGAAAACAAATCCAATACTATCCTATTGATGATTAACATACATTCATCTGTCATTGAAGTGGATATTGTACGCACAGTTTTCAATTCGTCGTGTCTATAAATGTGTCAAATCCGGCATAAATATTTAAGGTTACGTTTTAATATACATTAGAACAATTCTCCAATAACACTCTACTGCTCCATATAGGATGATGTTATACCATTATGCTAATAATGAACTAATTCGACTTCCTACTAATTAATCAATCAAACTTTGTAAACATGTTTGTTATCGAAACTGCCTTAAAAGGCTAAATGGTAAATCCGTCTAGCCTTTTATGAATTAATGAAATTTTGTATATATATATATATATATATAAAGTAAAGTTTAAGAGTAAAGACTCTAGTGTATTGTGTATTACCCTAGTTACATCTTTAGATATCCTAGACTCAAAACGAAATTGGTAATCGAATTATGTCTTGAATCATTCTAAGTAATGTGTAGTTATGGTAGTAATTAGTAATTTCCGTTAGCCACAGAGCTCAAAGCTAAACCCGCCGTCGTATATATATATATATATATATAAAGTAAAGTTTAAGAGTAAAGACTCTAGTGTATTGTGTATTACCCTAGTTACATCTTTAGATATCCTAGACTCAAAACGAAATTGGTAATCGAATTATGTCTTGAATCATTCTAAGTAATGTGTAGTTATGGTAGTAATTAGTAATTTCCGTTAGCCACAGAACTCAAAGCTAAACCCGCCGTCATAGTCATCAATAGCACTAATGACACGATGACGGTAGCTTTTGAGGAATATCCTAATCCATTTCAATTGAGTAACCCATGCTACGACTGCTATATGGTTCATCTATCACACCGAAGTGTAACCACGTCACGAAGAAACCTATGTGTTGTTAAAAAAATTGCGACTTAATCAATTTTTATCAACCGACATAAAAAAAGGAGGTTCTATATTCAATTGTAATTTTTGTTTGTTTGTTACCTCATAACTTTGTCCGTTATAAATTAATTTTAAAAAATGCTTTACTATCTGAAAGAATATACATACGTAGATTTTATTATTAAAATAGGTTCAGCGGTTTAGTTTTTATATTAAACTAAATAGTTTTGTCATAACAAAAATAGTTTTTTTTCAAACACAATTTTAAATTATCGTGTGTTTATAAACAGCTTTGTAATAAGTAGTGTTTTGATGAACAGCTCTTTCAATTGTTACAAAAATATAGGTCCAGCTTGGAAGTTAATTATATCGATTACAAAAATAGTTATGAAAATCGGTTCAGAATTGGTAAAGATATCGTGGGACTTTTTTTTAATAGATGACAGTGGAATTTTAGCTCGTCTGAGCTAACGGTATTCGCTGGCGGAACACCTGGAATTCAGCACGGTGGTTTTCAGGGGGGACCTCGTGGAGGTCGACCTGACAGGGTGTATTGCTAGCAATGGGACTGATAGTCCACATTACTAACAATCACTTCCCCCTATCGTGAGACTTACATGCAAAAGAAAATCAAACGGATTGAGAACGATTTTTTTGAATGCCTATTCATGTCTTTTATATAATGTAGTAAGAGAGGAAGGGATATACCCTAAAATCGCCCGACTATCAAATTAATATATTGTAAAATCTAATTTAAATTCTAAATAATGTATTCAATAAGATTTAATATCAAAACAGGTGGTACGTTGTAATTGAGGATTCCAGTAAATCCGGTTGTCTTGTAAGTTTAACCTGAACCTAGGTCCTTTGGTAAGCCAACAAAGCCCTCTATTGGCTTTGTCGACGCCATTATTAACCTGTCAAATGCACAATAATCTCACATGTGCGATCCCTGTCTTATTAGTATTCAAGTATAGTTATAAAATAATAATTGTAAGGTGAACAATCGAACGATCGTATCGACTGCTGAAAGATTTTTTTTATACCACAAAGGAGGCAAACAAGCATAGAGCCTGTCTAATGGTAAACGGTCACTGTAGCTTATGGACGCCTGCAAAATTAGGGGTGTTACGTACAAGTTGTCGACCCTGAAAAGACCTTACAAAATTAATAAAATATTTTGGTTAAAAAAAGTGCTGGATTTTTTTACGCAACTTAGAATAGGAAACAAGCTGACTACCCACTTGATGGGAAGTGGTAACCGTTGCCTAAATACATATTACCAGAGGGAGACTTTGTACAAAAGTCGTCTGCTTGGGTACCTCTGTCCCGTTCGTGTTTCAACCGTAAAGCAGTTGTGTTTGCATGGCTGTGTTTCGGTTTGAAGGATGGGATATGGCGTGAATTTACAAGGTACAGAGGAATAACACCTGAGTCCTCAGGAATGGCAATGCATGGTGGGTATCATGGGTGAAACAGTATACACTGTTATGTCCATGGTACTGCTCACGTCTATAGGCGACGGTTACCACTTTCCATCAGGTGGAATGTCAGCTTGTTTGCCACTCTAAGTGGTATAAAAAAAACCTTTTTAAAGTAGATATTTTTTTAGCCAAACTCTTTGAATTTTAACCTCGTTCTTGCATGTGAATCTCAAATTAGATTTTCGTTTTAATAATAGACAATTGTTAATGTAAATATTTTGTTTCCACGGCTGTACATGAGGAATTAGAGATGTATTACGTGTGGACTTATCCTCTGAGATAATGTTCCGGATATGTTTATCGTTGTGCCCTTTCCCTACCATACGTGTAAACATAGTTGCTGTTTTATGTTATTACACAACATAGTGTAAAACAAAGTCGCTTCCCCTCTATCCCTATGTATGTTTAGATCTTTAAAACTACGCAACGGATTTTGATGCGGTTTATTTTAATAGATAGAGTGATTTTTGTTTACGTATGCCTATCTGTGTCTGTTGTTATTTTATTTATTTATTCATTAGTACAAATATGTGTACATGGCGGACTTAATAATAAATAATAATAATAATATTTATTTAATTAGACAACATAAGGCCCATTTTGTTAGTTACAAATTGACTTAACCTATGTTAGTAAATGAGCGGTCATAACGCTCTTACATTGATAACCTGTCCCACCCAATATTTTAGGATGGGACAGTCCATTTTATCAGCAATTGTCTTCAGGACACTGTTTGAGCTAACACGCACCCTACCCAACAGCGAAACAATTCGTTTGCGTCGTATTGCGTAAAAATCATCTGTACGCTCCCGTGCAAACATGTGTGACGCACTACAGTGACTAGGTAGCCCCAACAGTGCCCTGAAGGCATTATTGTATTGGACTCGAAGAGCATTGTAAGTTTTTTGACTATAGTTGACCCACAAGCTACTTGTGTAGAACACCTGACAAAAAGCTTTAAACAGGGTTATTTTTACTTGTTTTGTACATCTAGTAAACCTGCGGGCCAACATGTTACTTCTAACTGCCAATGCTCTTCTTTCTCGTTCTATATCCAGGTCATCTTTTAAAGTATTTGCAATAATGTGACCGAGATATTTAAAATCAGTTACCACGTCAAGTACATTTCCATTAAGTGATATAGGAGGCACATACTTTGGTTTTTTATGTCTAGATACAAATGTCATAATTACACTTTTGCTAGAATTATATACCAGACCATGATTTTTCGCGTATGCTTCACACACAGCTAGCATTTTTCTTAAAGCTCCAATTGAGGGGCTCAGCAGTACCATGTCGTCGGCATAGCTTATGTTATTGACGCTTACTCCATCAATATAACACCCAGCATGCATTCCGCTGAGCTCCTCAATTAGGCCATTTACATACATATTAAACAAGTTGGGTGAAGTCAGCCCACCCTGCCTTACTCCGCATTTTAATCGGTATGAGTCTGATAGAGTATCATTCCACCTCACCTGATTACTTTGATTATTATACCAATACTCAAGAACTCTAACTAACTCTGTAGGAAGCGTAGTCTTATCAAGTTTACTCCATAAAAGATCATAAGATACCATATCAAAGGCTTTACTTAAATCCAAGAAACTTGCATAGACTGGAGTGGATCTGTCTGTGTAGTATCTGACCGTATGCTTGAGACACAGAATGGCCGATTCAGTCGACACCCCCTGCCTGAAGCCAAATTGAAGGTCATGCAAGTTTAGATGTCGTCTAAGTTGCGTATCAAGTAAACCGTCAAACACCTTGGCTGTTATTGTAGCCAGTGATATAGGTCTGTAATTACCGCTGTCCGATACATCTCCCGTCCTGTTCTTAAGTATTGGTACAACAATCGTTTTCAACATATCCTCTGGTAGGTATGTATGCCCAATACAAAACGTGTATAACATTGAGAGCACCCTGGGCAAATGGTCCCCAGCTGCCTGAAAATGCTCTATACTAAGGCCATCATGCCCAGGGGACTTTCCTCTTTTCATGTTCTTTATAATAAATTCAATATCTTTACATGTAAAATTATGCATTTGACCTACTATCTTTTTACTACAAGCATTTGTAGTCGACTGTAAGTTTTGTTGACCTAAAGGAGATGTTACTCTAAAATAATTTTTAAACATATTAGCTATTTGTTTAGGACAATTAATACCATTAATATTTACAGGAAAATTAGTTTTACCGTTAAGACTATTTGTCGCTCTCCAAAACCCACTAAAGTCACTTCTGGAGCGGCAAAGAGCAATTATATCCATTTTTATTTGGTCTTGGTTATTTTGACACCATTTTAGTTTACTTTTAAATCTCTTACGACTCTCATACATTTCTTTATACATAATACCCTCAGTTGGTTTACCATATAATTCCCATATCGAAAACTTTATTCTAGCCTCATTATGTGCCTCCCTTACATATTTATTCCAACCAGTTACACATCTTCGCCGCCCAACAGGCCTGTCGTGACTTCGAGCTGCAGCTTCTGCTAATGTATTTACTATATTACTGTATAATTGGTTTATTATGGTCTTATGAATAGGATCACTGCACTCTCTATCACAACAATTAGCAAGCTCAGATGGGAACTCAATTTCACTTAACTTTTTATTACAATAATTATTATATAATTGTATCTGTTCATAGTCTCTAATTCCCCACAATATTTTATTACAATGTCTTCCATTTATTGCTATTTTTGATTGCAATATATTTATGTTACATTTTATTTGAATAGGGAAATGATCAGACCAATATATATCATAAAGTATATTTATCTCTGTAATAGACTTCCAAGAAGCTTGTGTTACTAAAATATGATCTAACCAACTTTTTGTCCCATGTGCATCGCTAATAAAAGTATAACTATCCGAATTCAAACCTAATTTCTCTATATCCGCACAAATCAGCTGTTGTTCTGTACAGAAATGTAAAAGCTCCTTACCGAATTGTCCATCTGGGTGCGCATTGTAATCACCAAGAATAAATACAGTCTGCGAGTCATTATTCTCAACAATTGCACAGATCTCGCCTAAGCAGTGAGTGAATTCTGTTAAATTTTCACTATCGTCTGTGGGCATGTAAACACTCATAATAACCATTTGTTTATCACTAGTCTCTGCATTAATTGCTATTATTCGCGAACTTTCACATTTAATCACCGACACTGACCTGAAAACACTTTTCCGCCACAATATTGCGACACCACCAAACGGTCTACCGTGAAGAATGCCTACTGATGTGTCCACAGCAGACTTTCCAGAATATCCAAAATCATCATGAATGCTACCTAAAATATGTATATCATGAGGTAGAAGCCAAGTTTCCTGCAATGCGACTATATCCGCCCGTTCACATAAAGATTTTATACATTCTACTGATCTTTTCATTGATTTACAATTGAAGGATATCAAAGTTAGTGTTCTATTATGCATTGTTATTTTGTATTTAAAAACTTGTCATCATTACCAGATGTCTTTTTAAAAGTAACAAACCGACGAAACGAAATTCCATCAGGCCATAGACCTGCATCCATAAATATAGATAATTTACTTTGCGGTACAAATATTTTATACGCATCATATTCCTTCTGAAATTTCATGCAAATTTTTTCTAGCGCTACAGACACCTTAGTTTTTTGCAAAATATATGAAGATATGTCCTCTATGGAAGTATTTTTATCAACTTTATTTATAAAAAGCGGTATCTTTACATCTGCTGCTCGAAATTTTTCCTCCGGTTCTGTACTTGCTTGTCCTCTTTTCCCCATAAATCTATTTCTGAGTTTCTTTCTTTGTACAACTATCCAATCTTCTGACTTTTTTCCATTTTTCCATTTTCCGCCAGAAGCAATATCAGCAAATGATTTTTCCACTACTAATGGATGGGAGACTGTGTTGTGACTATTGGCTATGTTCACACCGGTCGCACTCACTTGCGTGTCCGCTGCTATGTTTTGTTTGCATTGATGTACTGTATCTTCTACCCTCGCACTTACGTTTTCTAATGTACTATTTATCAAACAATTAGATTGCGTTTTCGATGGAATATTTATGTTGCACTCGCTATTTATATTTCCATTTTTCTCTTCCTGAGAAATATGAAGCAATCCAATGGGTCCACTGTCGTAATGAAAATTATCAATAACATTTGCACACCCTCTCTTCGTGTTTATATATTGTGAGGGTTCAAAGTTATTCACAATTGAGGCTGATTTTAAATTTGCCAACTCATTCTTTATCAACTGTAATTCTTCCGTTGTAGCGCAGGTTTCCTTTACAGTTCGAACCTCCTGTTGCAACACGAGTATATCTTTTAATAATTTGGTTACATCTACGTGATCAAAACTTATGGGGGGTAGTTTCTGTAAGTTTCTTGCGACAAAAATCGGAATTTTTTCGGGATCTATTCCTTTCAATAGTGATAAAATATCTTCTATATCCCGCTTCTCTTTACTGTCCTTTTTCCGCATAATCTTTCGTATCTTCGTATTGACTGAGTCAAATAACAAAGTCTTCGCTTCCCTGATTTCTTCACTCGAAAATGAAGTCGTAACAATACGAATGAGACTTTCCTCGTCCATAACATCACATTTATTTTGAACAAAATATAATAGTTCACTAATTACAATATTACAATTATTGCATTTCAATATATTTGTTGCCATTATGCTAAGCGATCTATAGACAGCGCCTTTGCACATCCGTACTCAATGAAACGAACGCAACGACTGACTGCTTAATGCTAAAAGCATTTTCTCCCAGTCAACCATAGGGAAGTGTCAGAATACTCGAATGCGGTACTACTAATTATTGATATACATACTAAAATTACATATATAAACGAATAAATGTATATGAATAACAAATATACTTACACATATATGATGTATACTATATTATACACGAATTTGGGAATAATATAAAGCACTTACTGCTTGGATAAAAATAAAAAGTGAGCGTGAACGCTTTTTTTGAAAGACGGTTTAGTCGGTAGTCTCTTAATGGCATCAGGAAGCGCGTTCCAGAGTCGTGAAGAATGTAGGAGAAAAGAGTTTGAAGCGTAACCAGTACGGTGAGAGGGGAAATATAATTGGAGAGTATTATTGGAACGAAGGTTACGTTCGTGAGTTTCAAAAAGATAATGGAATTTACTCCTTAAGTAGTTAGGATTTATCTGTTGTAAGTGATGCGGATAAACTTTTTTGTTTATTTATCTATTTATATCTGTAGTATTTTAAAGAATTAATTTGTTATATTTATTTGTTTTAAATGTGTACATATTGCATTCGTCATGACAAATATTGACTATTTTTTTTTTTATACAACTTAGAATGGCAAACAAGCTGACGGCTCACCTGATGGAAAGTGGTAACCGTTGCCTATAGACATGAGCAGTACCATGGACATAACAGAGTATACTGTTTCGCCCATGATACCCCCCATGCGTTGCCATTCCTGAGGACTCGGGTGTTATTCCTCTGTACCCTGTAAATTCACGCCATATCCCACCCTTCAAACCGAAACACAGCCACGCAAACACAACTGCTTCACGGTAGAAACACGAATGAGACAGAGGTACCCAAGCAAACGACTTCTGTACAAAGTCTCCCTCTGGTAAAATCTCATTAGAAATACAGTAAGAATGGATAGCATATTTTAATTTATATATTTTCCTTTAATATATTAATAATTTTTTATGTCTGTCGTGCATTGCATTCTTATTTATTTGTTATTATGCGTCACAGTATTATACTGTGACGTCTATATCGATGTTCATGTCTATCAGTTACCACATACATCAGACGGGCTGTCTGTCCGTTTGTTGTCATTAACAGTTGTAAGAAAACATTTTTATGACTACTAAAAATGTGTCTGGTTTCTTATACAATCTAATGATTTAACCACGTACGTTGTCCGTCCATTCATTCGCGTTCCGAGAATGTGACTCACACGGCAGATTAATATACGAGTCTTCACGTATGACTTGCGCAAATATCTGTCTGTCTGCACCGTTTCCCTTTCAATTGTTTGCGAGTTATGCAATGTTTTTTATTTTAAACAATTTACGTTGTTCGCTTGAAAAATAATTAAAAAACAAATACTCCGAAGTCAGTGATAGCATCATTACATAGTATAAAACAAAGTCACTGTCTGTCCGTCCCTATGTATGCTTAAATCTTTAAAACTACACAACGGATTTTGAAGTGGTTTTTTATTGATAGATAGAGTGATTCAAGAGGAAGGTTTATATGTATAATACATGCATAATATTTTAGAGAAACACTGATAAATTTAGAGGTTTCTAATGTGATGTCGTAAATAAACACATTTTTTTGTGTTTACATTGCAAACGCTGGCTGAACCCCACGAGATAAAACAAAATAATGTACTACAGTATTGTACATCTTAAAAAGGTCAACAAAAAAGTTTCCGATGGTATATGTCTTTCTCTTAAGGATAACTTACAATAACCATTTTTTATCCTTTACATTTTACAGGAAAAAATGGCTTATTTACGAAGTGATTTTAAGCAATGCAACATTATTTTTTATCCAATTAAGTACCTTAAATACATTGTCCATTTAATATAGATTAATATGGCCATTTACAGCATGTAATTTAAATGAAAATTTCCGAAGATATTACAGATTTAAAACGCTGGAACATAGCGGTCTGGCATTGCACCCGTGCGAAGCCGGGGCGGGTCGCTAGTATATATTTTTATAAAGTTTTTTAGTTTTATAAAGTAAGCGACGTAGCTCGAAGGATAAGCAAGCTGTAATGGCAATGAACTGGTCACATAGCTCGAAGAACCGACAACTGATGGGGAAGAAAGGTTCTTGAGTGGCGACCGAGTACGGGTAAACGCAGTGTAGGACGACCCCCACTAAATGGAATGACGACCTCAAATGCATTGCAGGAAGTCAGTGGATACAGGTGGCTCAGGACCGTTCCTTATGACGGTCTATGGGGAGGCCTATGTCCAACAGTGGACAGATAGTAGCTGGAATGTTTATAAAACGATAAGAGTAAATAAAAACACTATTGTTTGATATTTGTGTGGAAGTGTATGAAAATGTTATAGTGGTGCTAATGTATGGAAATGTATGTATTTTTTAATGGGTGAGAATAGAATGATAACACTGCTTGTGCTATCGGTATACACTGGCTGTGTACCAGTTTAACATGATAGGTGAGGATAAAAGCAGGTCAGTCATTGCTGGCAATATGTCCTATTAGGTCGACCTTCACGTGGTTCCCCCTGGAAATCATCGTGGTTAATTCTTGTTGAATTCTTCATGATGGGTTGACTACCTGCCTTCATCCACACCTGGCATCTCTCACTAGTGCCTTGATAGTGTATACCGTTAGCGCAGGCGAAGTTACCATTCCATTATCGTCTATTAAAAAAAAAGTGAGTACATATACTTCAATGGGATATGGTGGCGAAATTGCAGAGTTCAGGAACATAACATCTTACTACTCAGGAATGGTAATGCATTAGGGTGTAATGGACGTCCCAGTATAGGAGATCAATGTGTTTTTTTTAAGAATGATAATGAGATGGTAACGCCGTTTACGTTATCGGTGTACCCTGGCTGGACACCAGTGAGTGATGACTGATGAGGATGAAAGCAGCTCGGTTGACCCCTCGTGGCAAATTCAACAAGAATTAACTACGAGAGTTTTCAGGGGCAACCGCGTGGAGGTCGACCTGATAGGAGGTACTGGTAGCAATGGGGACCAACCTCCCCATTACTAAAAATCACCTCCCCCTATATCTAGGTGCTGTCCATGTTTAAAGTCGACGGTCACCGTTTTCCATAATTGAATACATATACTACTTGTACAATGCTTTTCATCAGACGGTCTATCAGTTTGTTTATCATATCAAATTGTATTAAAAATACACATAAAAAATACGTTAAGTTACGGTTGAAGTCGATATGAGTTTCTTTAGACATATTTGCTTATCCAAGTATGAGTCATTTATTTTATTGATAAACCAATTCGTCAGGGTCATCAAGGATTGAAATACCTTCTAAATTACTTATTTGTTTTATATTGTACACCTGAGTCCTCAGGAATGGCATCGCATGGGGGTATCATGGACGAAACAGTATACTCTGTTATGTCCATGGTACTGCTCATGTCTATAGGCGACGGTTACCACTTTACATCAGGTGGGCCGTCAGCTTGTTTGCCATTCTAAGTTGTATAAAAAAAATATTTAATTGAATGTATTTAAAAGATATGTAGCATATTAATTGACTCATTATTATCATATTTGTCATTTACAGTCTACTGCTGAATATAGGCTTCCCCCAAAAGGGGGATTTTGCCAGTAGTTGCCACGTTTGACAGGTGGATTGGCAACCGCACTTAACTTTGGTGATGTTTTAAGAGGGACGCTCTTGCCCATCCTTCGACTA